GAACTACAAAACACTTCTCAAAGATATCAGAGATGACACAAACAAAAGGAAAAACATTCTATGCTCATGGATAGGAAGAATCAGTATCATTAAAATGGCCATGTTGCCTAAAGCAATTTACAGATTCAATGCTATTCCTATTAAACTACCATTAAGATTCTTCACAGAACTAGAAATAACTATTTTAAAATTCATATAGAATTGAAAAAATGCAAAAGGCAATCCTAAGCAAAAAGAACAAAGCTGGAGGCATGATACTACCCAACTTCAAACTATACTACAGGGCTACAGTAACCAAGACAGCATGGTTTTGGTACAAAAACAGACATATAGACTAGTGGAACAGAATAGAGAACCCAGAAATAAGGCTGCACACTTACAACTATCTGATTTTTGACAATCATAACAAAAACAAGCAATGAGGAAAGAGTTCCCTGTTTAATAAATGGTGCTGGGATATAACTGGCTAGCCATATGCAGAAGATTGAAACTGGGCCCCTGTCTTAAACTATATACAAAAATTAACTCAAGATCGATTAAAGACTTAAATATAAAACCTAAAGCTATAAAAATCGGGGAAGACAACCTAGGCAATACCATTTAGAACACAGGCATGGGCAAAAATTTTATGATGAAGACTCCAAAAGCAATTGCAACAAAAGCAAAAATTGACAAATGGATCTAATTAGACAAGAGCTTCTGCACAGCAAAATAAACTGTCAACAGAGTAAACAGACAACTTACGGAATGGGAGAAAATTTCTGCAAACTATGCATCTGACAAAGGTCTAATATCCAGCACCTCTAAGGTACTTAGCAAATTTACATGAAAAAAAAAACAACCCCATAAAAAAGTGGGCAAGGGACATGAACAGACACTTTTTAAAAGAAGACATACATGTGGGGCCAACAATCATATAAAAAAAAGCTCAACATCACTGAATCATTAGAGAAACACAAATCAAAACCACAATGAGATACCATCTCACACCAGTCAGAATGGCTATGATTAAAAAGTAAAAAAATAACAGATGCTGGCAAGGTTATGGAGAAAAAGGAACGCTTATATACTGTTGGTGGGAGTGTAAATTAGTTCAATCGTTGTGGAAGACAACTTGACAAAGACCTAAAAATAGAAATACCATTTGGTCCAAGAATTCCATTACCAGGTATATACCCAAAGGAATATAAATCATTCTTTTATAAAGACACATGCATGTATATGTTCACTGCAGCACTATTCACAATAGCAAAGAATGGAATCAACCTAAATGCCCATCAATGGCAGACTGGATAAAGAAAATGTGGTACATATATACCATGGAATACTAGGCAGCCATATAAAAGAATGAGATCATGTCCTTTGCAGGGACATGGATGAAGCTGGAGAACATTATCCTTAGCAGATTAATTCAGGAACAGAAAACCAAATAGTGCATGTTCTCATTTGTAAGTGGGAGCTAAATGATGAGAACATATGGACGCATACAGGGGAACAACACATACTGGGGCCTATCAGAGGGTGGAGGCTTGGAGGGACGAGGATCAGGAAAAATAGCTAATGGATCCTAGGCTTAATACCTGGGTGATGAAATAATCCGTACAACAACCCCCCATGACATAAGTTTACCTATGTAACAAGCCTGCACATGCACACCTGAATTTAAAAGTTAATTTTTTTTTCAAAGGGGAAAAAAGTGGGTAAAAGACCTGAACAGACATTTCTCAAAGAAGACATACAAATAGGTACATGAAAAAATGCTCAGTATCACTAATCATCAGGGAAATGCATATTAAAACTGCAATGAGATATCACCTTACACGTGTTAGAATGGCTGTTATCAAAAAGATGAGAGATAACCAGTATTGGTGAGTCTGCAGAGCAAAGGGAACCCTTGTGCATTGTTGCTCGGTATGTAACAACCCTTGTACATTGTTATTGGGTATGTGGTAGTACAGCTATTATAGAAAACAGTATGGAGGTTCCTTGCAAAAAACAAAAATAGAACTATATGATCCAGCAATCTCATATTTGAGTATATATCCAAAGGAAATGAAATCAGTATGGTGCAGGGATATCTGCACTCCCATGTTCATTGCAGCATTATTTACAATAGCCAAGATATGGAATCAACCTAAGTACCCACCAATGGATCCACAGCTGAAGGAAATGTGGTATATATACACAATGAGATATTATTCAGCCTTTCAAAAAAGGAAATTCTCTTATTTGTGACCATATGGATGAACTTGGAGGACATTATGCGAAGTGAAATAAGCCAGGCGGAGAAAGACAAATGATCTTACTTATATATGGAAACTTAAAAAGTCTAACTCCTGGACATAGCATAAAATGATGGTTACCAAAGGCTGGGGGGAAAGGGGAGAAAATGGGAAGTTGTTAGTTAGTCAAAGGGTACAAAGTTTCAGTTAGTAGGAATAAGTTTTGAGATCTATTGCATGGCAGGGTGACTAGAGTCAATAATAATGTATTATATATTTCAAAGTAACTAAGACTAAATTAAAAAATGACTCAGCACAAAAAATGATAAGCGAGGTGATGGATATGTTAATTAGCTGGATTTAATTATTCCAGTTTGTGTATAAATATGAAAACATCACATTGTGCCTCACAAATGTATAAAATTATGAATTTTCAATGAAAAATATTCATTTTTAAAAATCCTTCAGTGATTGTATTAAAGTCATATAAGAGATTATAAACATTTCCTATTAACATTAGGAAAAGCTAGATGAATGGCTTATGGGAACTCTGTACTGATTCTGCAACTTCTCTGTAAGTCTAAAATTATTTCAAAATTGAAAGTTAAAAATATCCTTTTGGCAGCAGTGTGGAGGATGAAGTAGAGAAGTAGGCTGGAGGGGGGTATTGTGGTAATCTGGGGTGAGGAAGGTCTGAAATCAGATCACAGCAGAAGGCCTGGAGGAGACAAGAGGGTGGATGAGAGAAATTTAGGAGTGAGGAGAGTCAGGATTCAGTGACTGGATGAGGTTGGAGATGGAGCCATTACAGGGACAAGGCTTGCATGAAATGATAATATTCTTCCTTTAGCAGGAGAAAGAAATTTAACTTTGAACCAGATGTGAGATAAGACCAAATGTTAGAGGGTGTTTGAAGAAATTGAATGACTCCCTTCTAGCTGAGTAAGATTTTCAAGTGAAGTGTAACTCAGTGTCCAACCCTCTACCAAAAGAGAATACACAGCAGGACGGCTGCTTTCAAGACCAGAGGAGGTGGCCAGGGCTTTTTATGTGAGCACCATGAATTTGTGTATGAAGTAGGAATAGTGTGAGGGGAGTCACTAGACCCTACAGGAACTCGCAAATTTTCAGGCCTGTGATGTTTCAGGGAACCCTGAATGCTTCTTTGAAAATGATTGAATTTATACAGTAGCCTTAAGAAAGATTCATGAAGCGAGTGTTGTGTTAAACTCTAGTCTCAGAGTGTTAGTTCTAAATGATTCCCAGCCTTGGGTAAAATCTCTTAATGGTTTTTTTCCTTTATCATTTGATCAACTGCAGTGACCTAAAGCTGCCAGCTAGATTGAATTAGAGGGTTACTCTTCCTCAAGGAAGACAGGTGGAAATATGCCTTACAAAGCCATTTCTCAGGAATCATTTATTTTCTCCTTTAATTCATGACTGGCTATTTGATGGTAAGCTAATTGGCTGAACGTGAAATATTTAGATGTTTTGTTTCATATGATATCCCAAACTGGTTTATCTTACAGGCTAAATTTACTGAATTAATCAATTATGTGACTGTCATCCAATTATTTTTCTGTCAACCATTCCAAAAGTGTGAACATTTTCAATAACACTAAGAATTACTTTGAAAAGTTTGATGTAGTTTGTCTTGTAAAGGGTGCTTCAAAGGAGATAAGAATCTAAATATATATTAAAAATGTAAATCCTGTATTTCACATTATATTATTGGGTGCATTTTTCTAATGATTTAAGAGATTAGATGAAAACTACTTCAGAAGCTATTGTTTGCCAAATCTTAGGCTTGGTAATAAGAGAAGAGGCAAACACAGTCAATTAAGAATGCTTTTGTGCTCCATTAATGATTACCACAAAGGAGCTTCATGTTTTAATTTTATAACTCTTTTGTGTATTCATTGTGAAAATGGGGCAGTTTTCGACTGGGCATGGTGGCTCATGCCTGTAATTCCAGCACTTTGGGAGGCCTAGGTGGGTGGATCACTCGAGCCCAGGAGTTCAAGACCAGCCTGGCCAAGATGGTAAAACCCCATCTCTACTAAAAATACAAAAATTAGCTGGGTGTGGCAGCAGGTGCCTGTAATCCCAGCTACTTGAGAAGCTGAGGCAGGAGAATCGCTTGTACCCGGGGGCAGAGGTTAGAGTGAGCTGGGTGAGACCCCTGTCTCAAAAAAAAAAGCTTTCTGTGTGCATAAGACTGTAGATGTCATGAAGAGAGTAAGATAAAAGAGAAGAAAGAAAAAAATCAAAATAGAAGAAAGCATTGTCCTGGCCCTCCAGGAATTATAAACAATAAAATGAAAGCATAGTTGTCTATCTTATCTGTCTATAGAGAGAGAAAAATAGAACGGTGATTTCAGGATCAAGGGAAATACAAATTGAACATTTTGAAAGTATGCATTTAAGTGCTAAATAGGAGCTGGGTGTGATGGCTCACACCTGTAATCCCAGCACTTTGTGAGGCCAAGGTGGGCAGATCATTTGAGGACAGCAATTCGAGACAAGCCTGGTCAACATGGTGGAACACCATTCCTACTAAAAAAAAAAAAAAAAAAAAAAAATTAGCCAGGCATGGTGGCAGGCACCTGTAATCCCAGCTACTCAGGAGGCTGTAGCAGGAGAATCGCATGAACCCAGGAGGCGGAGTTTTCAGTGAGCCAAGATTGCTCTACTGCACTCCAGCCTGGGTGACAGAGCGAGGCTCCATCTCAAAAAAAAAGTGCTAAACAGGAACATATTTATAAACACCCACAATGATAATGCCTTTTTGTTTTCTAAGGTACAAAGAAGATGATAAAATGTAGTCATGAAAAGTCAGATGAAAACACAAGCCTCCAGGAAAGTTCCAGCCAACCAATTTCACAATCTTGTTCCAGGAATGCCTGACCCAGGTAATAACTTTGATTCACAACAAAGCCATTAGAAAAAGGAGCTATGGAAATTATTCTAATGGACAATATAGTTGTTTGAATTTTTACATCGGAAACGTCTGAATCTCCATCTCCCTAAGGGAGACACTTCGGAGCCAGTCATACTGATAATTGTAGTACTGAAACCTGTGTTGTCCTGCCACGAAACTATAAAATGCAAGGTGTTTGGAAGACTAACACATAAACTAGCCCCAACTGGTCAGGATGATTGTTTTCCTATCTTTTCTCACCATGTTGTAGTCTATCAGAAAGAGCTGTTGTCTGCTTCTGGATAGAAAAAAAGAAGTTTTTTGACAGGCCATCACAAAACAACTATTTTAAAATGAACAGTAGATTTTAATCTTAGTAGACTAAGGGTGGCTTTTGTCACACACTTTTGACTACCTAAATTGAAGGCTTTCAAAAGGAAAACATTCAAAAGAACCCCCAGTGAGTCAGCAAAGACTTTGAAAAGATTGTGTATATTTTCTAAAGCATATTTTTAAAAAAATCATGTACAGGGGGAAAGTGTAGAACATGTACCCACAAGAGCTAAATTTAAAAAGTGTGCGTACAGTGAACACATGCGTAGCATATGGATGCGACTGACGGAAGAGGGCCTGGCCTCCATTCAAGACACCACTCACAGCAGATGCACCGTCATAAATTTGAGCTACACAGCCACATCCTCGCTGGTCAGGTTCCAGTCAGTTGTCTTTGAATCCAGTATGGTTAATGCACCCTCAAACTCCGGCTTTCGTTTTGGTAGGAGGGAAGAGAAATTCCTATGTGAAAAAGCCAAATTACACATATCCCAGACTGATAAATAGTCATTCATTCCTTACCTCTTGTGAGACTTTGGCAAGTAAAATCCCTGGCAACTTTTCATTTCCGCTTTTTAGCCTAACAGATTTTGCCCATTGTCTGTCATCTGATTCCAGCACACATCAAGGATGGACAGTCAGACTTGATAGGATTACCACATTTTCTAGTATTAAATCATATTTCTCAAATTAAAAGGCTCTGAATATAACAAGTAGTAAGAAAACCCCTCCTACTTTTCCTTTTATGGTCTCCCCCACCCCAAAAAGTACTACATTCATTTATTTGCTGATGGGGTTCTTGGGTGTTCACTTAAAATGGTGACACAGGTGCTGAAACATTTTTAGCATATTTGTGAAATATGTAAGTATTTTACATTTCAAATCAAATATTTGAATTATCTCTCTATGGACCTAAAGATGAAGTAGTTTATTACAGTTTTCTGCAGATTCATGCAATCACTGAGGACTTTGATGATGAAAGGTGCAGCGTTCAGCCAGACCAGCAACTGTGAAAAGTACCATCTCCACAAATCAAATAGATGGTCATCTTTGGTCCTCACTGGATGAGTAGAGCAGATGTTGGTAAGGAGGGGCCTGCTTTGCACAATCCTTTGGACAAATAATTTGATAACTTTGGCAGAATTGAATCTACTAATTTGATTCTTAGAATTCTAGGTGGTGGAACAGTAGCAGATGCCTCACAAAATATTAGCATCCATGTTTAACTGCTCCTCATCACATCCTCTTCACTCCTCTTTGGGGAGCTTCATTTTAAATTAGATGCAGCTGCAGAGTGAAAGATTTCTTTCATGTTCCTATTTAGTATGAAAACAATAGCAAAAATAAACATTCAATTTCCTAACTTTTAGGAATTCTTCCTTTGACTTTGACTTTTTTTTTTTTTTTTTTTTTTTAATGGGAGAGGGAAGGTTTGATCAGGGTGCTGTTTTAAAGACTATCTAACAGAAATTCCATGGAGAACTATTCATTTTTCACATTCCTCCAGCAAAATTCACTAAACATGCCTGAGGTGCTCATTTCAAAAACTGCATATAAGCAGGTTATTTTCTCTTATTCTGACAAGTTTCAATCACATATTTATTTCATTTGATTTATTTTAGTGAAGTGGACATTAATTCTACTTTGTTTAATTTCATTGCTCAAGGAATTAATGTGTCATTTGTTGGTTACTAGGTTTCAAAAGAGAAGGGAAAACACTTGGAAAAAATGGAAGTTTCATCTCTGGCCTGCCTTACAGCTTCTGGCATATTTTTAGATGCCAACAAGTAATGTCAAAGAAACAGCTGTTACAATGATCCTGCTTAACAGCCATAAAGGAATGAAGATTTCCACAGAGAGCTTTGTGAGTATACCTGGCATGTGTATCATTGTTTGAGTTATTTCCAATTGATAATCAGAGAAGTTTAATTCTCCTTTCTCTCTTTCTCATTCTCCTCTTGCCCTGAGTTTTCTTTTCTTTGTCATGGCCTTACAAGTTGCAAAGAATTGCTGTTTTTCAGCTCCCTACAGTGAAGTAGTGGGAAACAGGAAGTTTACTCTCTTTATGTCATTTGGGATCATTCTGCAGTTTGTTTCTTGAGTTACATTTGCCTATAGATTCAAAGTGATCTAAAGGGCAAACCAGGAAGGGAAAGCCTAGAATAGCCTCTTTGTCTGGGGCCTTTCAAATCTCTGCAGTCATTAATACTTTATCGACTACCTGTGGAATAAGAAATGTCTGGGTTGGCTGATTCTAGCAAAAAAAAGTTTCTTTTCCCTTCAGATCAGTCTCCACGGAGCTGCCATTTCCCGCTGACTGAGAGACAAGATGGAGTGCCAGATTGTCATTTAGTTTAACTCCATGGAAATGAGGCAAGGGAATCTGACCATGACTAAACCTTTGCATCCAGCAAAAGAACACAGGGCAATCAAGGAAACCTTCTGTTGGCCCTCGGAGGACAGACTGTTGGTAAGTTTGCAAGACGTGTTAGGCTGGCAGAGGGGGAGTCCCGAGGAACACAGAGGTGACAAAAACTCTTAGCATTCATTTATTCAGACCTTTCATTAAGCCAGAATCGAAGCACTTCCTTTATGAAGGCTGCCCTAAAGATACGACTTTTATGACCAAGAAAAGGTAAACAGAAAAACAGACCCACCAGCCAGCAGAGGAATGACTAACCACAATGCTCAGGAGAGGTCTAGCACAACTCAACTATTCCAGCTGTCTTCCTGACTTCTGTGTGTGTACATACATATACATGTACACACACCCCTTTGTCAACCTTAGTTTTGCAAGTCTCTTGTTCAATTGCTTCTACAGGACTTAGAGGAAAGAGAAATGAGCATCAAAATAAACTTCTTTCTTTCTGTCTTTCTCTCCAGTTCTTAATTCTTAAATTGCTTAGTTTAAATGAAAAATTTTAAAAGACAAATTTACTTACAGCAATAATAGCAACTTAAAAAAATTTGTAAAGTATCTTTTAAAATTCATTATAAAAGCATATTTTGCATGTAAATTTTGCAGATAGATTTTTAAAATTTCTGGGTTCCCCAAAACATTTTTGTCTTCTCACATTTGCTTGTAATATGTGTAACAGCAATGTGGACCTAGCCGTTAAGTGCACCTAGACCTAAAAGTGTATAATGTGGTTCAAGTTTTGTGGGTTGAAATTTAAATTTCCAGAAATTATCTTGCTCACAGTCCAATTTCTGTTAGGCACCAAGTTAATTTCTTTCAGGTCTCAGGTTTGTGGCTTCATGCTGATTTGTCAGGCTGCTGGTGTCGTATTGATTAAGTAGTTATATTCTTAAGGACTTTTCAACTAATAGCAAATTTATATTTATTAGTTAGCTGGACAGAATAGGAATACTCAGCATGTTGCCCAAGTTTCAGTTTAGCACTTCATTTTGCAAACTCTTTTACACTGCTATTTTTGCAAATTATTTCTCACAACAGTCCTGTGAGATAGGCTAACGATGTTGTCCAGAAGCTGTCTGGGTTTTAGAAAGGGTACATGATGTGTCCTGAGACAGCAGCAGAGCCAAGATTAGAATTCGCAGTTCCTGGGGCTCAGGCAGCCACGCCTTGCCACCCATTCAGTATGTCCACCCCCTTCTTTTAATTATATTAAGTTTCGGTGCCACTGCAGAGTAACAGATTAAGATAAAATAACACCGTTCAAATGGAAATGGAGTCCATGTCTGTAAAGGCAGAGTGTGGTGTTCAGCGGCCTGAGTGGTGCCTCTTGAAGGGCTGAAGGCTCCCTTTCCCCTGGAGCCCCCTAGAGAAATGGCTCCCTGACAAGCTCTTTCTAGTTCTCTTCTGAGTCAGGCTGTTTGAACTGAAAGATTATTTAGTTCAACTCCTTGTTTTGCAGACACAGAAAGTCAGGTCCGGAGAGATTGAGTTTTGCCCAAAGTCTCAATGCAAAATTGGGTCATTGTCATGGGAAGAACCCAAATCTCCAGATGTTGCCTTCAGCACTGTTCCCTGAACTACCCTATTTCTCAAGACTGGCTCCTGAACCACTTTCCATGGAGTTAGAAAGTGAATAGAGGTTATCAGTCAATGTCCATACAGCATGAATTTGGGGGCTTTTCTGATTTAAAGGAAGCCTAGAGCTTGACATAGCTTGTAGACAGAAGATTAAAGTAAAAGAACTGATAATATTTTCTATTTCACCAAGTAATATTGAGAGGTGACAGCGTGCTGGCAGCCCTCGCATCCCTTGCTCGCTCTGGGCGCCTCCTCAGCCTCCGCGCCCACTCTGGCCACGCTTGAGGCGCCCTTCAGCCCACCGCTACACTGTGGGAGCCCCTCTCTGAACTGGCCGAGGCGGGAGTCGGCTCCCTTTGTTTGCCGGGAGGTGTGGAGGGAGAGGCACGGGCGGGAACCCGGGGGGCGCACGGCGCCTGCGGGCCAGCGAATTCTGAGTGGGCATGGGCTCAGGGGGCCCCCACACTCGGAGCAGCTGGCCGGCGCCGCCGGCCCTGGGCAGTGAGGGGCTTAGCACCCAGGCCAGCAGCTGCAGAGGGTGCGCAGGGTCCCCCAGCAGTGCCAGCCTGCCCGCACTGCACTCGAATTCTCCCTGGGCCTCAGCTGCCTCCCTGCGGGGCAGGGCTTGGGACCTGCAACCCGCCATGCCTGAGCCTCCCTGCTGCCTTGGGCTGCTGCGTGGCTGGAGCCTCCGGATGAGCGCCGCCCCCTGTTCCCAGCACCCGGTCCCATCAACCACCAGAGGGCTGAGGAGTGTGGAGTGCGGGCGCACAGCACAGGACTGGAGGGCAGCTCTGCCTGAGGCCCCTATGCAGGACCCAGTAGGTGAAGCCAGCTGGGCTCCTGAGTCTAGGGGGGACTTGGAGAACCTTTATATCTAGCTAAGGCATTGTAAATACACCAATCAGCACTCTGTCTCTGGCTCAAGGTTTTTAAATACACCAATCAATGCTATGTATCTAGCTAATCTAGTGGGGACTTGGAGAACTTTTCTGCCTAGTACGCTGTGTCTAGCTAAAGGATTGTAAATGCACCAATCAGCACTCTGTGTCTAGTTCAGGGATTGTAAATGCACCAATCAGCACTCTGTCAAAAGGACCAATCAGCTCTCTGTAAAATGGACCAATCAGCAGGATGTGGGTAGGGTTAGATAAGGGAATAAAAGCAGGCTGCCCAGCCATTGGTGCAACTCACTGGGTTCCCCTTCTATAGTGTGGAATCTTTGTTCTTTTGCTCTTTACAATAAATCTTGCTGCTGCTCACTCGTTGGGTCCACACCATCCTCATGAGCTGTAACACTCCCCACGACCATCTGCGGCTTCATTCTTGAAGTCAGCGAGACCAAGAACCCACCAATTCCAGACGCAATATTAGCAGCTGTGTAATGAGAACTATGTCTACAAAATCCAGAATGAATTGGAGACTTCAAATTGTTACTGCAGATAGCTAAATCAAACTAATTATTCAGGCCTCAAATAAAGTTTTGTGGTCTGAATCAGAAGGAGAAAATTTGTACTCTAAGTAAATTCTCTTTCTTCATTGTGAGAAATGCACATTCAGCTGTCCAAACCCAAAGAATGGACTCAGTCACGAAGAATAGTGGAAGCAAGACGTTTTAATGGTGGTCTTGTGAGATGGGGTGTTTGGTAGGCAGGCACATCTAGGGCAGTTACAGAAGGTAATTTATCTCTTAGCACGCAAGTGCCTCCCCTAGTTCCTCATTGGTTGAGTACTATGTGGTTACAATCTTCCCGGATGTCACCTGAGTTTCATGATCCCCCTTATGTGGTTATACCCCATCCCCTTCCCTGCTTAAGTTTTGATTTTCCGATAATGAAACCTTCTTCCCTTTTATGGGCTGACCCCTCCTCTACATTCTGTTCACTTATCGTGACCTTCTAGGTGCATGAGATGTGCGGTTTGTTACATCCACAGGCTGGCCCCCAGTACTTAGATTGATCATGCCTTGAAAATGGACCATTTAAAATGTTTTCTCACATTCGTGATAATCATTAATACGTAAAAATGTTGGGTGAGAAGGCCCACGTTAGAAAAAATAACCCAGTGCAATACCTGCTTTTGAAAATATATCCTGGGACCAGGACTTCCCATGTGTCAGTCATTCACATACCACTGCCACCGTTTTTACCATATCTGCATGTTTCCATTAAATTCACTTTTTAATATAAATGTATGAAAAAAGAAAGCTTTGTAAAACTATAAAATGGAAAACCAGTATAATTTGCCAAAATCAAAGTAAATTTGCAATTATAAAAACCTTAAAAAGTTTATGTGTGCTTTATTAGAACCATCTTATGTGTGACCAGTAGTGTGTATACTGTGCCTTGGGAGACATTGATCTAGGCTAGCAGTTATCAATATTTTTTAGAGGTAGGGGGAGGTAACTCAGTAACCATTCTATTTGGCCTCACACAGATATGTAGTTGGAAAAGAAGTATGTTTTCATCATCTTAGAAAACTGTAGATATTCTTCTTTGATACTGCAACAAAGTTCAATAATATAGACTATGAAATGAAATCAATGAACATTTACTTTGAAATCTATTGGTCTACCTTGCACTTTGAATGAATTTCTTTATCCATGCCTGATTTTGTAAAAGGATGTATTGGTTATTTGGAAAACATTGTTTCACTGGGCAATGCAGAGCTTCCAAATTTTGGCCAAAAATCGTATTTTTTAATATCACCACCAGCCCACATAAGGAAAGTTTTTAAACATTGGAATCCTGTTAATCTCATGGTGGCAGATACAAGTTTCCAAAATTCTAATTTTTACCTGAAAGCTCCCATTTTACTGTTGAGGACAAATACTGAAAAAATACAGGTTCTTTTGTTCCCTTCAGTTGAGAGGTCCACTTAGTTCATTTTCAATAAAATGTCATTACATACCAAAGTCTCAATAATCATAGTTTGTCTGCAAGTTAAACTTCCTCGAATCAAAGTTTGTAAGTCTGAAAATCTTAACAGCAAACTGGTTGGTGCTTTGTGACAGAGGTGGCGAGGTCAGCTGCAACTCAACCACACGGGTGCTTTTCCTTGAGACAACCATTGTACTTTGGTGTGAAGCAGTACTTCATGTGTGCACTCCATTTCATCACACAAAATATTTAAAATACGTATATTCAAGGGTTGAAATTTAATAAAATCAATAACTGCTTCATCAAAGATATTCTTAGTTCAATTGGTACTTTTTTCCCTTTTTTTTTTTTTTTTTTTTACTACGAGTGTATGATATTAAAGAATACAATGACTATAAGCAAAGTTTGGTGCCACTGCCTTGATGCGTATTAAGGGGCCAGTGGTTTTATTCACTATTGCTTTAGCACTATCAGTGCAAAAGTCAACCCTGACAGAAAGGCAAATAACGTCTTGGTATTAGTGTGAAAATAGTTCTGATCTCACAAATCCCCTGAAAAGATCTTGTTGACCTTCAAGGATCTGTGGGTACACTTTGAAACCTGCTGATTTAGGCCGATTTGTAAAATTAAGGGAAAAGGAAAGGAATCGAATTTATTATACACCTTATAAACACTATGTTATGAACTGAAACACTATGTTATGAAAATTTGTATGTTGCAGTCCCACCCCCTAGAATTTAACCATATTTAGAGACAAGTCCTTGAAAGAATTTAAAAGGAGGCCATTTGGGTGGGGCCCCAATCCAATATGACTGGTGTCCTCATACGAAGAGGAAAAGACACCAGGACACAAGGATACAAGGGACAACCATATGAAAAAGCAGCAAGAGGATGGCCATCTGCAAGCCGAGTGGCCTTAGAGGAGGAATCCAATCCTGCTAGGACCTTGATCTCGGACTTCCAGCTTCCAAAACTGTCAGAAAATACATTTCTGTTGTTTAAGCCACCCACTCTGGGGCATCTCATTATGGCAGCACTAGCAAACTAATACATATTGACATCA